AATTTGAGTTTCCACCCCAAGGGTTGGAGATGGTCTTAGAGTTTCGTTAGATTTCTCAGTTAATTGCCTACTGGCACTGTGAGTCCCATATTTTTCAATTGATTAAAATATGAATAAAATATTAAAAACAAAATAAATAAATAAATAAATAAATCTCTCTCTCTTCTCCCTCCCTCCGCGCGATTTGCTTCTTCCCCCCAACCTGAATGCTCCACTGTACCCTCAGACCAAGACAACGTGTACTCGGAGTTCCATCGGATTTTCGAGCTTTTCCGAACGGCTTTTGCAAAAGGGCTCCAGCGTTTTGACGACGTCGACGTTTTGGACCCGGAATCGAGAGCAATTGTCCCAGTTTCTCAAGAACACCAGCTATTGGGCCTAGATTCGCGATCAATTTATGCAAGAGATCTATGCCCTTTCTGTTTTCCTTCTTTTTATTATCTTTCCATGAGATGTCTAGAAACAATTCTCTTGGTCTGAGGGTACGGTGGAAGATTCAGATTTTTTTTTGGGGGAGGGTTCAGGGTTCAGGGTTTAGGGTTTAGGGTTCGTGGAAGGTTGGTAGTCATGAGGAATGCAAGGAGAAAGGGAGGGGGGACTGAGTCTCGATTCCGAATTACCGAAGCAAATTATCGCATGTAGATCTTTTTGGAGGATCCTATTTTCCTGGCATTCAGGAATCCTGTTAAGAAAATTTAGGTCATGTTGCAGACAAGATTCTCGCTTTAAAATTTGCATTTAATTTCTGATATTAGTTTAAGATTTTGCACATACAGATTAATCAAATATGGATTTTTTGTTTTGTTTTGGGAGAGGGGGTTGAAGAAAATCGCAGGGGGGTATGAGTTATGTGGATTATGGGTTCGTGGGGGTTGGGGTTGTGGGTTGTGGGTTCGTGGGGTTTGAAGGGTGGTGGTCATGAGGAATGCAGGGAGAAAGGGAGGGGGAAGATGAAAATCGCAGGGGTGGGATGGGTTCTGTGGGTTATGGGTTCGTGGGGGCTGGGGTCGTGGGTTCTGGGTTCGTGGGGTTTGCAGGGTGGTGGTCATGGGGAATGCAGGGAGAAAAGGGAGGGGGGAAGAAGAAAATTGCAGGTGAGTTATGGGTTCGTGGGGGCTGGGGTTCTGGGTTCTGGTCATGGAGAGAGAGAGAGAGAGCAGTTGGGTTTCAAGATGGGTTTGTGGATTTTGACCCCAAAATCCCAACTTTAACAGAAAAATAGGACAAAAGCTAAGATGATGAAAGACCCGGATGGATCAAATGGGTTTCTGGACTACAGAAAGACCATCCAAGATCAAAGGAAACAATGGAAGCGTGAGAGAGAGAGAATACAGAGAGAGAGGGAGAGAGAGAGATTTATTTATTTTTGTTTTTAATATTTTATTTATATTCTAATCAATTTAAAATTAATAAAAATTTAAAAAATATGGGACCTACAGTGGCATGTAGGCAATTAACAGACAGATCTGATGGAAACTCTAACTGTGGAATCGGATTGTAACAAATTTACAAGCTCGGGGTATGCGATTGTAAAAATTGAAAAGTCAGGTACTAAGAGCAACTCCATCCATTTATCCTTAGCCATGGCAAGGGGGGAGTTAGGGCAGCCACTATTCAAGTGAATAGTAGTTTCCCTTGCAAATAGTATTTTCCGTTTCCACCTGTTGCCATGGCAAAGGGCAATTACTATTCATTTTTTTTATTTTTTTCACAACTTTTTTTTACCACAATAATTAATTTGGATAATATTTTCGGATAAGATTTTCGGGTTCCTATGTGTCAATACTATTCATATCTCATAATCGGATAAAATTTTCAATTTCAAATTTCAGATAAATT